GGTGTTTGTGTCAAAGTGATAAAGGAATTCATGTAATTTGACTGATGTGGTCAATGAAAGCAAGACAAGAACAACAGCTCTGACTCACTTTCTGTTTCACACCCTTAATTTCAGTCCCTTCTAAGAATCCAACAAAAGTTCATGTTTTGATAATATATTCAAGAAAGCCATTTAATGTTAGCTACAACCTAAGCTGCTTCTGTTGTTGTGTTGAACTAGTTTGAAACAAGCAGGAACAAGCAGGTTCATGGATCTATGACACCTCAGTCTAGAACTGGTCTAGTCACTTAGTTCAAATGCAAGAATCCATCTGAGAACAAGGCCTCAAGTAGAGGCCTCATCCGTTCCGTTTGGTCTCACTGAAGACAAGCCTCACTAGTTTCAATCCTATTTTATTTATTTTACCTCCTCTCAGAGGGTAAAATAATATCATTTCTGATAATTACAAGGGCTAGTAATAGTTACTTAGTAGAGTAATTAAGCCTCTCTTTGAGCAGAAAATGCATTTATTTTGTTAGAGCAAATATGCTGATTCACCGATTTGCAAAGAAAACAGAAATCACACAAAAACAGAAAAGAAAATCGGGTAAAAAAATATCTCCAGCGCATTATTCTGAGTAGTAGTCGTAATGAGCGGCGCATCACACAGAAGCGGAGATTAGCGTTCCCACCGTAGCTTTCCACAATCAGCATAAACTTAATGCACCTTTGCAGAAAGTATAGATTAATGTACCAAATGTTATAATGTATTAATTCGGGCTGTAGATTCTTATAAAACTTAAGATCATGTTTTAAGGCCACAGTTAGAATCACATGATTAACGTGCGTTTTAGCGTTAATCCACTTATAATCTTCATTTACTTTAAAATGTTGTTGTTTTAATGCTATTTCTGAAGGACATATTTTCACCAAAATGTTGAAAATAATATCTTAACCAATGTTTATTTCATGTTTGATAACTATAGGGCCTTTTGCACCGCAGGAATCTTTTCATAGTACCAGAACTAATTGTGGAACTACCCACTTTTAGGCATTTTCGCACCGCCGGAACTGGGTGCGATTTTAGTACCGGACTGCCTTTTTCGAGAACCAAATTAGCTCCTACTCCGGATCAGGGTCTAACCAGCACAACTGGTACTAATCGTGACGTAAGTAGACATTGATTGGCCAAACGCGTACGAAAACACCCTCACCCGCCATGATTTAAAACGCTGTGTAAACATACTGTAAACATTGTGTCAACTTATTTCGCAAGTATGGAGAACAGCGATAGATGGACGGATGCTGAAGTGCAGGCACTTGTAGCAAATGTAGCACTGCCAGTTGTCGTTGGAGATTCTTAGTCCTCCTTTCCGTTCTTTCAGTCGCTTTACGTATACGTCGACTTTCCATGTCCATTATTGTGAAAACCGTGAGACACAACAAAAACACAGCTCCGATCACAGCGTCCTCCATCCTCCTGTTAATGTTGTTCTTCTTAGTTTCTGTTGTTGAATGCCGCGCACAAATGACGTCGCTGTCGACCGGCTTACGTCACTTCCTAGTACACACTCTCTGTGCGAATGCAACCCATTAAATAGTACTGGGAAATAGTTTGCGCAAAATCGTCCCAGTTCTGGAACTAAAGCGGTGCGAAAGGCCCTAATGGTCCATTTGAGAGACAGGTGGACAGTTCGGACATTGTGGTGAAAATCAGAGGTAAAAAAAACTATAAAAATACTGTTCAGTTTCTTGCACAGACCGATCGTTTTGTGTCTTTACACATCAATGTACCGTCACAAGCCGCAAGGTTTAATTTGGTTTTATGTATGTTTTTTTGACTCTCAAAGCTGTGATTCTCATCCACTTGCATTATATGACTGACAGACTGCAACAGTTTGACTTAAAAATCTTTGTTTGTGTTCTACTGAAGAAACAAAGTCACCTACATCTTGGATGCCCTGTGGGTAAGCAGATAAACATACAATTTTCATTTTTGGGTGAACTATCCCTTTAA